CAATATCTCCTCCTTAGGAAAAAAATTCGGAATTTTTCGACCACCTTCGAAATTATCTGAAGATATTTTCCTGTGCATTTCCACCTTTAGAAGATACTTTCGGCCTCATTTTTTTTGATAATTCCTACCATTTTTCTAGGATCGTCCTTGAAATATGACAGTTTTTTGAATAAAAAAAAAATACCGAATATTTCAAGACAAAAATTTCGAAATCTTTCGATCACCTTCGAAACTTAACATGTCTTCAACATTTCGACTTCCAGAAGTTTCGGTTTCGGTTTCATATCTTCGAATTTTCCAGAAATGAAATACGAGTTTCTTTTATTAAAGAAAAAATGCATTTCAAACCGTATGTTTCTCAAATCTTGCCCTGAGATCATTAAAAGGCTAGATTTTTTTAATCAGCACGTCGAAATCTATATCCCAAATTTTTTTAGACAACTTTTTCCAAACCAAAATTTTTCAGTATGAAAATTTTGGAATTTTTTGACCATCTGCGAAACCTAATTGAAGCCATGTTTTTATACATTTCGAACTTCAGAAAATCACTTGCGACCTCATTTCTGCGATAACTGCTCATATTTTTTCAGAAATGAGTTTTCTTGGATTTTTTTTTCAAAAATTATATTTCAAACCATGTAATTCTCAAATCCTACCCCGACACCATCAAAGTGCTGTATTTTTGGAAACAACACGTCGAGATCTATACCCTGGAATTTTTTGAGAATTTTTAGACAACTTTTTCTAAACCAACATTTTTCAATATGAAAATTTTAGTATTTTTGACCATCTTTGAAACTTGATTAAAAGCCACGTTTTTGTACATTGTGAACTCCAGAAGTTACTTGCGACCTCATTTCTTCGATAACTGCTACTATTTTTCCAGAAATGTCCATTAAAATTGAGTTTTTTCGATTTTTTTTTTTTCAAAAATTGCATTTCAAAGCGAATAATTCTTAAATCTTTCCCCTACACTATAAAAGTGCTATATTTTTGGGTTCAACACATCAAAATCTATATTCCAGAATTTTTTGAGGATTTTTAAATAACTTTTTCAAAACCAAAATTTTCAATACTGTTTATGAAAAAATTTCGGAATTTTACGACCACCTTCGAAATTATCTAAAGACATTTTTCTGTACATTTCCACCTCCGGAAGCTACTTTCGACATCATTTTTTTATAATCCCTACCATTTTTCTAGAATCGTTCCTTGAAATAGAAGAAAATCTATTTCAAACCGAATATTTCAAGATGAAAATTTCGAAATCTTTCGATCAGCTTTTCGAAACTTAACTAAACAAATTTTCTTGAACATTTCGACTTCCAGAACTGAAATATGAGTTTCTTTTATAAAAAAAAAATGCATTTCAAACCGAATTTTTCTCAAATCTTGCCCCGAGATCATAAAAGCGCTAGATTTTTGAAATCAGCACGTCGAAATCTGTATCCCAGAATTTTTTGAGAATTTTTAGTCAACGTTTTCCAAACCAAAATTTTTCAATATGAAAATTTTGGATTTTGTTTACCAGCTTCGAAATCTAATTAAAGCCATGTTTTTGTACATTTCAAACTTCAGAAGTCACTTGCGACCTCATTTCTCCGATGACTGTTACTACTTGTCCATAAATATAAGTTTTTTGAATTTTTTTTTCAAAAATTGCATTTCAAAGCGAAAAATTCTCAAATCTTGCCTCAACAGCATAAAAGTGCTGTATTTTTGGAATCAGCATATCGACATCTATACCCAGAATTTATGAGAATTTTTAGACAGCTTTTTCAAACCCATAATTTTTCATTTCATTTCAAATTTTGGAATCCTTCACCATCACATTCGGAAGTTAATTAAAGACATTTTCTTGTACATTTCGACTTCCAGAAGTTATTTTCGGCCTCATTTCTTCCAGACTCCTACCATTTTTCCACAAACGCATTGAAATATGACAGTTTTTTATTTTGATATTTTTTAAATTGCATTTCAAACTGAATAATTCTCAAATTTTGCCCCGACAACATAAAAGCGTTTTTTTCGGAATCACCACGTCGAAATATATATCCCAAGACTTTTTGACAACTTTTTGCAAACCAAAATTTTTCAATATGAAAATTATGAAATTTGTGGATCATCTTCCATGTTTTTGTATATTTGGAACTCCAGAAGTTACTTATGACCTCATTTATACAATAACTGCTACCATTTTTCTAGAATTGTCAATTAAAATATGAGATTTTTGGATTTTGTTTCAGAAATTGCATTTAAACCATATAATTCTCAAATCTTGACCCGATATCATAAAAGAGCTATATTTTTGGAATCAACACGTCGACATCTACATCCTAGAAGTTTTTGACAATTTTTGAATAACTTGTTTAAAACCAAAATTTTTCATTCTGATAATTTTGGAATTCTTCAACTAGATCCGTAACTTATCTGAAGAGATTTTCTTGGAGATTTCGACTTCCAGAAGTTACTCCCGGCCTCATTTCTTCGATAACTTCCAACATTTTTCCAGACTCGCCTTTTGAAATATGACCATCATTAAAAAAGTCATTTCAAACCGAATGTTTCTCAATCTTGCTCCGAGATCGCAAAAGCGCTATATTTTCGGAAGCAGCATGTCGAAATCTACATCCTAGAATTTTTTGAAAATTTTTGGACAACTTTCTCGAAACTCAAATTTTTCCGAATTTCGAATTTCTCAACCAACTTCAAAACTTAACCAAAGACATTTTCTTGTATATTTCGACCTCCAGAAGTTACTTTTGGTCCTATCTCTTCGATAACTTCTTCTATTATTCCGTAATCGCCCACTAAAAAGCAATTGTCTGGATTAAAAAAAAAAATTCTGTTTCAAACCGAAAATTTCTCAAATCTTAATCCAAAACCATAGAAGCGCTATATTTTTTAAATCAACATATTGACATCTATGTCTCACAATTTTTATATTATTTTGTTAAATTATTTTTAATGAAGTCATTAAATTTTTTTTAAACATTAAAACAAACAAAGTAAATTAATTATTATCTAATGTTCTTAGACACGCATAATTTTTATACCAATGTATAACATTTGCCTTTATCATTTTTCTTCATTGTAATTATTTTTATTTTACATAAAAACCTAATCTGGTCAATGAACTTTATACAGTTATTTTTACAATTTCGTTTTGTGTGTTAAGTTTATTATTTGACTTTTATCTGTCTCTTATTTATACTATTTTTTTTTTTTTTGTTAATTAGCTACATCTAACAGCGGAGTCCAATTATGATTTATATACAAAGAACGTCCAATTACGCTTCTGGTCACTGGTCTTATCACAGAATTCACTAATTTCATTCAGAAAATTTTTAGGTTAACATATCTTCAGACAAAGTTTTGATACAAAGTATTTTTTTGATCATTGGCATAAAAATGAATTGTTTTAATTTATTTTGCCGCTGCAACTTCATATTTTTGCCGTGGAACTTTAAAATTAACATTTCCTGATTAATACTAATTTTATGTTATCTCGACGTTTCATGACGTCTAGAGTCTGAAAAAATAGGTCTCTCGTTTCCATCTGTCTGGCGTTGCTAACGTCATCGTATGCTTCTTTATTTGTAGTTTAAAAGTTCACACATATCTTTATTTTAAATTTATTGGGGTTATCAAAAAAAAAATAAATAAATTTTATAATTTATTCAAGAGAAATTGAACGTGTTTGACTGTACTTCAGGATCTTGGATTAAAAAAAATTATAAATATTTTTCTGTATTGTTTAATTACATTCATAAACAATTAATTTCTCCGTATTGTCGGTTTCAACTTAAACGTTGGGGTTATCACAATCAAGCCTTTTATTCGTTATTATATTCCACCGACTTCAATTAATCAAAAAAGGAATTTTTATTAAACCGTTACTGCATTCCCTCGATCCAGTTTCGATCTATCACATCGTAACACAAATCTCAACCCATCCCCGACCGTCAAAAATTCTGCGCTAATCAGCGACCCTTGCCTTTAATCAATGGACGGGTCAAGCGAATTTATGTCATCAATCCTTATCGAAAAGATGGCACAAACTGGATGTCGTAATCTCTAAGGGTCACTTCAACTCTGTGCTCCAATTATTTGTTATGAAACGACCAAAATACACAATACCACGATAACTCCGCCGCTATTTTCGGCGAACCCACATTACGACAACGTCCAGCGTATCCCAACCGAAATAACCCGTCCTTGACACCGGTTCAAAGCCGCTTTTCTCGCTTTTCGAAAACGATATTCGCATGTGCTGGAAAACGGCGCAGGTGCGGAGTGACCTTCCAGCGCGGAAGCAAAAATAGACCGAAATGATTAACGGAAAGGCGGGTGGGTATTATTTCAGATGGGAATGCCGACGCCTTGAGCGGAGCGCAGGTTGCAAGAGTGTGGGAGAGGGCCGAGGCTGGACCCTTGCGGAAATCGCCGCCAGTGGCGTAACAAGCTTTTTTTTCCACAAAAAATACGTTATTATAAGAATTTTTTTCGTTCTTGAACAAAATTTGACATTAAACTAAAACTCGTCCGTCTATCCCCACCAAAATTTTGATGACGTTACTGTCTAACAAATTTTAGATTATATCGATCAGGGATCCCCCCCCCCCTTCTATGTTCATTGTTAACTTTCGTTTGTTGTCATTATAGCCCTCTTACTATCTTTGGTAAAAAGCTTCACAATATGTATACATTACATTTAAGCCTCTCCTTCATTTCGTCAAATTCTTCTTTTATTCAGTTTTCCACTGCCTCTCCATTTCATTAAATTCTTCCCTACTTTGTTCTTAATTTATTATTATATTACGCACAACTTTTTCTATTCATTCCCGCAATTCTCATTCACCCTTGTTTATTGGGTTGCCTAACCTAACAAACTAACCTTTAAAATCATCATTTTCTTTCTTATTATCACAAACGTCTACTTCTTCATCTGTTTCTTTTGGGTTATCAACAAAAAAGATGACAATTTTTCCTTGTTTCAGTGTTCAGGCTGCCTCAACGCTAACGCTTACAAATGCAACTGCACGGGCCTTAAAGGCAGATCAGGCAGCACCGGCCTTCCAGGTCTGTCTGCCCCACCTGGAGACTACGGAGACATCGGTCCTCCCGGTCCCCTAGGTGCCAAGGGCGAAAAAGGAGAAGCCGGAGAGTATGGAAGTCCAGGCGAACGAGGCTCCAGAGTAAGCCCTATTTACCCCAGTAGTAGTACTGTTTGTACCAATAAACGTTGCATTGTAGGGCGACGATGGAGAACGAGGTCTGCCTGGAGTGGTTGGACAATCCGTAAGTACAACGATTTCTAGACCAATCGAAACTACGGCAAATCATTTTGAAGGGGTTCCCCGGTGAATCCGGATTCAGAGGTCCTCAAGGTTTAGACGGCTGCAATGGAACCGACGGCGCTCAAGGTGTCCAGGGAATGACTGGTCGCCCGGGTTCTAGAGGCCTACCAGGTTCTGAAGGTTTGCAGGGTCCTCGGGGAGAACCGGGAGCAGGAGGTGGTAATTCTATAGGCACAAAGGGTGATCGCGGCGACAGCGCGTTTGATGGTCCCCCGGGTTTGCCCGGTTTTAGAGGTCCTCCGGGACCTCCTGGGCCCCAGGGAGCGCCTGGATTTCCGGTACGTGTAAATCAAGCGAGAAGCAAATCAAATTTGTTCGGTAAACTTATAGGGGATTGTCGGAGAACAAGGTCTGTGGGGACCAACAGGTGATCAGGGTGATTCGACCAGAGGCGACAGGGGACCAGGTGGTGACCAAGGTGATTTAGGAGACGCTGGAGAACCTGGAGAAAATCCTGATCCACAACCTCTGGAACCGCAACCACCGAGATATGATTTAAAAGGTCTACCCGGATATCCAGGTCCCAAGGGTAACGACGGACCGAGAGGACCAAAAGGAATTCCCGGAGAAAGAGGATTTCCGGTGAGTTTTGTTCCTCGAAATTAAGGAAATGTATTAACATAGTGTGTAGGGACTGACTGGACGAAAAGGAGAGCGAGGCTATAAAGGAGAACAAGGCGATGATGGCCCTAGAGGAAAACAGGGTCGTTTAGGTCCCGAAGGACCTGCGGGAGAAAAAGGTGACAAAGGTGCCCCTGGTTACGCAGGAAATCCTGGTTTCGACGGAGAAAAAGGAGAGAGGGGTGAAGATGGTAATCGCGGCACTCCTGGTTTCCAAGGTACTGCTGGACCCCCTGGAGTATACGATCCGTTTTTGGATAGAGTAGTTGATGGTCCGCTTGGAATACAAGGTCCTGAAGGACCCGTAGGGGACAGAGGAATGAGTGGTATTCCTGGTCGTCCGGGACAAGCGGGTCCTATTGGTCCGCCTGGAGTCCCGGGACCACCAGGGCATCCGGGGCTTGCAGGACCTAAAGGCTTGACAATTAAAGGCGAAAGAGGTGCAGATGGATTACCGGGAAGACCAGGCAACACAGGACCATTGGGCGCCCCGGGAGCTACGGGTGTTGTAGGCGAAAAAGGTCTTGCTGGAGAAAATGTTATTGGACCACAAGGTGAACCGGGATATCCCGGAGTGCCCGGATTTAGAGGATCGAGAGGAGAGCGGGGTGACGTTGGGTACACTGGGCCGAAAGGTTATCCAGGAGTGGGTGTCCCAATAAGAGGACCTCCAGGTGAAACGGGTGTTCGAGGTCCACCAGGAACACCAGGTGATGCTGGATTGCCAGGATACGATGGAGTTCCTGGTCTGAAGGGAAAAAGAGGAGATGATTGTGGCGTTTGCAGAGCAGGTTTGATTCTAGTGCGTGTTATAAAACATTACGCTATGTTTATGAACTTTTAGGTTTTCCTGGTCTGAAAGGTGAACGAGGTGATCCTGCTCGAAATGGTCGCCCGGGTCCTCTTGGTTATCCAGGGCTAACAGGACCCCGAGGGCCACAGGGTCCTCCTGGGAAGGAAGGCCAAGAGGGTGAACCAGGACTCGATGGTACTCCAGGTACTCTTGGAATTCAGGGACCTCCTGGACCAAAAGGTCAAAAGGGCAGACTTATATATCCCAGTGAAGAGCATGTTAAGCCAGAACCCGGAGACTTCGGTGATTTTGGATTTCCTGGTTTAATGGGGCCTGATGGAGATGTAGGGCAGAGAGGATTTCCAGGAATACCAGGACGATCTGGACCGAAAGGTGAAAGAGGAGCTATCGGTAATCCTGGAGGGCCAGGTCGTGATGGATTGCCCGGGCCAGATGGTTGGGTGGGCCAAAAGGGAGACCACGCACCAATTCCAAAAGAGTATCTCACCGGAGATACCGGACTAACCGGCTATCCGTAAGTCTTCAACATCATGACCGAAAAATAACTAATAAAACTTTGTTTTAAAGTGGAATTAAAGGTGATTGGGGAGAACCTGGTTTACCTGGGTTTCCAGGTGATGCATTAGATTCGTTCGCGGATCTTAAAGGTGATCCAGGCCTCAAAGGAGAACCGGGAGACAGAGGTAACAATATACATCAAAGTTTCGTCTCAGTTAAATATTTGTATTGTGACAGGTTTCGATGGTCTGTTTGGTTTCAAAGGACAAAAAGGAGAATTGGGGTACGCAGGCCTGCCTGGCTACCCTGGTCCTCCAGGAATAAGTTTTGCGGGTCCAGAAGGTCTAAAAGGATACCCTGGAATACCGGGTGATCAAGGACCTCGAGGACCCGCCGGTCAACCTGGTATATCTGGACGTGACGGTATTCCTGGTGGTCCGGGGATGAAAGGTAATCGAGGGGAACCAGGTCAGCGTATTCTGAACGGAGATATAGGACTGCAAGGCTCAGCAGGGCAAAAAGGTGAACCTGGAGATTTCGGTCCTGACGGATACCCAGGAATTCCGGGAACACCAGGGGTCAAAGGTGTAAGAGGCCCAAAGGGAGCACCTGGTTACACAGGTCTTCATGGTCAAGCTGGGGCCAAAGGTATCCAAGGTGTTATGCGACCCGGATTCCCTGGGAGACCGGGAAGTCCAGGTTTGATTGGTCGTCCTGGAATGTTCGGAGATATCGGGGTGAAAGGTGACAGTGGAATACCGGGAGGACTTGGTTACAATGGTATGAAAGGTGAACCTGGTCGATGGGGAGCACGTGGAGAGCCTGGAGATCAAGGAATCGATGGATTCCCGGGTCACAGCGGAAGAGGGGGCTTATCAGGTAGACCAGGTCTGCAGGGAGAGAGAGGTGACATCGGATTTCCGGGATTGAGAGGACCTCCAGGCCCAGGGGGTCTGACTGGGCCACGTGGAGCCAAAGGCGAAAGAGGAAACGCAGGGCCTCAAGGGTTCCCAGGAGAATCCGGTGTTCCGGGTTTCCCGGGTGCTAGAGGAGACAACGGCTTTCCAGGAGCTAGGGGACTCAAGGGCGACTCAGCTGCCAGCGGTCCTAAAGGAGAAGATGGAGAACCTGGTTTCTTAGGAGAGCCTGGCTTTGACGGTGTACCTGGATTACCAGGACTACCCGGTATACGCGGTGACCGCGGAATCGATATCTTCGGACCCGCTGGCCCCAGAGGAGATAACGGACTACCAGGATATCCAGGGGTAGATGGAGAACCCGGTTTGAAAGGTGAACGCGGAGAACCCGGATTTGACGGTCTAACAGGTGCACCTGGCGACCGAGGTGTTCGTGGTGCGCCTGGAACCCCAGGTTGGAATGGCATAAACGGCACTAAAGGAGAACGGGGAGATTCTGGAAATCCAGGCTTTGTTGGACGTAAAGGCGAACGTGGAATGGAAGGGGAGCCAGGACGGATGGGTAGACCAGGGATGCCGGGTGACATCGGATACCCTGGAATAACGGGACCTCCTGGAAGCCAAGGTCCCAAGGGTAATCAAGGTTTACCTGGATTGGCTCCGTTTGGAATTGGCGAGAAAGGTGACTTTGGTGAAACTGGAATATATGGTTTAGCTGGAATAAAGGGAATACGAGGAGAAGATGGTTATTATGGTCCTCCTGGTCTTCAGGGGATGACTGGTGATACAGGCGCACCTGGATTAAGAGGAGATTCGGGAATACCGGGTGTTAGAGGCGAAATTGGTGATGCAGGAGCAGCTGGAGCGCCCGGATTGCCGGGACTAAACGCTGAACGAGGCGAAGATGGACGCAATGGTTTTCCTGGAATACCCGGTCGAGCGGGACGTCCTGGCCAGAAAGGTGCTCCTGGAGAATACGGAAATGATGGACCTCCCGGTATACCGGGTATACCTGGTCTTAGTTTTGATGGCGCCAAAGGAGAACCTGGTGAAGTTGGCTATCCAGGTTTCGCTGGATCTATTGGACTTCCAGGTCGAGCTGGCTTACCTGGTTTAGCGGGAATTACGGGACCAAAAGGAATGACTGGAGATGTAGGAATTGCCGCTTATAGCTTCAAAGGAGAACGCGGTGAACCCGGTTATCGAGGAGCACCAGGTTACAACGGTACTAAAGGCGAACGCGGCGATAGTGGTTTACCCGGTTTACCAGGTATACCAGGTAGCAAAGGTGCACGAGGTTTCTCCGGCGACAGCGGCCTACCTGGAATTGATGGTTTGCCAGGTTTCCCCGGTCAAAAAGGTGAAATAGGCGACTGGTCATCCGACGCATTTCCCGGACCTTTAGGAGACTTAGGAGAACCTGGGTTCGACGGGTTACCTGGTTTCCAAGGATCGCCTGGACAACCTGGACTGCCAGGTTTGTCGGGACGCAAAGGTATGGCTGGCGATGACGGAAATCCAGGTTTGCCTGGTTTCCACGGACCGAAAGGTATACGTGGAGAGCCCGGAATAGCTGGTTTCCCGGGTCTCCAGGGAAGCAGGGGTCCTCCAGGTATTCGAGGAGAACCTGGGCCGCCGCCACCAATTCCCAGAAGCAAGGGATTCCTCTTCGCTAGACATTCTCAGTCCGAATTGATTCCTGTTTGCCCTGCAAATACCGTGAAGCTGTGGGACGGGTTCTCGTTCTTGCATATTTTGTCAAACGATCAGGCTTTAGGGCAGGATTTGGGAAGCGCGGCGAGTTGTTTGAGGAAGTTCAACACCATGCCGTATTTGTTCTGCAATTTGAACGACGTGTGCGACTACGCACAGAATAATGCGTACAGTTATTGGTTGTCGACTACCGAGCCGATGCCGGCGATGATGACGCCGATACCAGCACCAGAGGCTGGACGTTACATATCAAGGTAAAAGTTTGATTTTAGTTTGTGGAATGTTACGATTTTCTTTGTTAGATGTTCCGTGTGCGAAGCACCCACAAGACTCATCGCGGTCCACAGCCAATCGACTACCATTCCACAGTGTCCTAACGGATGGGACGAACTTTGGATCGGCTACAGTTTCCTGATGGTAGAACCCAACGCCCCTTGTTTTATTCGCACTAATCGGTCTGTTTGCAGCACGTGGATGCCGGTGCTGAAGGCGCTGGCCAATCCCTCGTGTCCCCAGGTTCATGTCTCGAAGAATTCCGCCCTAAACCCTTCATCGAGTGCCACGGCCACGGCAGATGCAACTACTTCACGACGGCCCTTTCCTACTGGCTTGCAACCATCGAAGACTACGCCATGTTCCAGAAACCCCGTTCCGAGACCCTCAAAGCTGGTTCTTTGACCACGAGGGTCAGCAGATGCGCTGTGTGCATAAGACGCAGGTACAATTTGCGCGGGACGGCAGTGGTACCTCCCAGTGAAAGTAGAAGAATCCCGGCGCCTGCACCACCACCACCAAGACCCACGTACTACAACAGACAACAGTACCCCTACTACCCTCAACCGTCTCCACCAAGTGGGCAATACCGGAACTTGGAAGACAGTCGCAGAAGACGACTTCGAACGAGAGTGAGGCATCGTAGACCTCAGTATAATACAGCACGACCGAATACCACGTGATCTGAATGTGCCATAACAGATACTTAACTTTTGTAATTATGTGTATAAAATAATGTATAGTTATGCTCGCTGTTAACACGTCCTTGTGAAGGATAACAATTGTGTTCAAACACAGATCCTATTAGTCTGGTTCATTTTCTACTTTATTTGTAAGAGATTAGGTTTTATATTTCTAATTTAAACAATGACTCGTAAAAATTGTGAATAGATTTATTTTTGTAATCAGATGTATCACTAAGCTTTTGAGGAGTTATGATTAAGATTTACGACTTTTTTACGTCGACGGTGCTAATTTTTAGTAGTTAGGGCTTTGACAGAAATGTGATTCATAATATGTGTGCCTTATTATTATCAACACTGCCAAATAATTTTGTAGCGTAACAAATAAATTGGATAAAAAAATAGCTCTGTCTTTTATTAATTAGTTGTTTCAAGGTGAAAAAGGAAAAAATCAAGTAGGCGCTGATTTGTTCCGCCTCTTTTAAATTGTGTAGCCGATTTGTTGTTAGTGTGTGTTTAACTGGTTGCATAACTTCAAACACAAATTACTCAGTTGAACCATAGATTAATATAGAAGCGACATCCAGGCTGATTTTGCAAAACCACCCTTATTGACATTGGAGTCCTCAACCGTCAAAGGCAAGCGCCAAATTTAAATAGTTAGTCTAAAACTTGTTTCACTACGACTCGTCGCCTGAGAACTCTACAGACCAGAGCACGCTCAGGCCAATGTCGACTCTGCGACAATGCGTTCAGAAGCGATTTGGTTGGTTAGGACTATAATTTCTGCGGGAAATGATATTTCCAGTGAGAAAAAAAAAAAAAAAATAAAAATAATCGAAAATACGAAAAATCGAGAAATCTAATAATCGCAAAATCGAAACCTTAAAAAATCGTAAAACCGAAACATTGAAAAATCGAAATATCGAAGAACTGAAAATCGAAAAATGAAACATCAGAAAATCGAAAAAATGTAAAATTCAAAAATCTAAAATTTAAAAACCGAATAACGAAAAATCTAGAAATCGAAACTGCCAAATTTAAAAAATCGGATAATTGAAAATCGAAAAATCAAAAGATCAAGAAATCGTGGAGTCGAAAAGTCGAACAATTTGGAAACCGAAGTAGGCCAAAATCGAAAAATCGAAAAGTTAAAAATTGAACAAATTATAAATTGAGAAATTGACAATCAAAATATCGAAAAATCCAAATCTCGATAAATAGAGAAATCAAAAAAATTAAAAATTCGAAAAATTGAGAAGAGATAAATCGACAAACAAAAAGTTAAAAGTTGAAAAATTGGAAAATCGGAAAAATCAAAAAACGAAAAAATGGAAAACTGGAAAAACTGAGAAACCGAAATAGGCCAACATAAAAAATTGAAAAAATGATAAATCGAAAACATGAATAATCAAATCTCGATAAATCGGGAATGAAAAATTAACAAATCGAAAAATTGAAAAACAGAATATCTAAAACCAGGAAGTCGAAAAATCGAAAGGTTAAGAAATATTGAAAAATTAAACATAAATCGAAAAATCTAAAATCCATCGCAAAATCCAGAAGTCAAAAATAGAAAGGCCGAAAAATAGAAAAATAAATCAAAAAAGTGAAGTTGAAAAATAGAAACCTTAAAAAATCGAAACATTGAAAAATCAAAAACCTGAAAAATCAAAAAATTAAAGAATTGAAGAACCGGAAAATCGAAACACTCGAAAGTCAAGAAATGTGAAAATCAAAACATCGGTTAATTGAAAAATCGAAAAATTAAGAGTTTATAAAAGTTTGAAAAATTCTGAAATGAAAAATGGAGAAATCGAAAAATCTAAAATTTTAAGAATTAGAAAATCTAAAATTTAAAAATCGAAAAATTCGGTTATTCGATTTTCCATTTTTTTGATGTTTCAATTTTTAATTTTAGACATTTGGATTTATCGATTTGTCGATTTTTCAGTTTTCCGATATATTTTTCAATGTAGCGGATTTTTAAATTTTTGATTTTTCAGTTTTTTGGTGTTTCAATTTTTCGTTTTTACAATTTTTAATGTTTTGATTTCTTGACGATCCGGTTTTTCTACTTTTAAAATTTTTCAAATTTTTGGATTTTTAAATTTCTCGATTTTTCGAGTTTTCGATTTCTCAATTTTTTAATACATATTTTAATTTTGACAACTTTTGCATTTCTCGATTTTTCAATTTTTCGGTTTATAATGTTTCTAAATGTTCATTTTTACGATTTCCTAATTTCTCAATTAATCGATTTTTTTATTGTTCCATTTTTAAATTTTTTACTTTTCGGTGGTTCGATTTTTCAGTTTTTCAATTAAATGTTTTGAATTTTCGTGTTATCGTTTTTCCATTTTTCAATTTTTCAAATTTTCTATTATCCGATTTGCAGTTCTCGACTTTTCGATTTCTCAATTTGTCGATATAATTTAAAAATCGAAAAAGTAAAACTGAAATATGCAAAAACTGAGAACCCAAAAAGTTGAAAAATCCAAAAAGTGAAGTCGAAAAATCGAAACCTTAAAAAAACTAAAAATGAAAAATCGAAAAATTAAAGAATTATAGAACAGGAAAATCGAAAAATTGACAGTCAAAATGTCAAATTTGAAAAAATGAAAAATCCAAAATTTGAAAAAACGGCAATTGAAAAACAGAAATCTAAAACAGGGAAGTCGAAAAATCTAAAGATTAAGCATCCAAAAAATTGAAAAATCGAAAAAGTAAAAAAAAAATCGATAGAATAAGAAATCAAAACATTTGAAAAATTCGAAAACTTGAAAAATTGAAATATCGAAGAACTGAAATGAAAAAACGAGAAATGAATTTAAAATTTTAAAAATTAAAAAAGCTAAAATTTAAAAATCGAAAAATTGAAAAATCGAAGAAGTAAAAAAATCGACACATCGAAAAATCCAGGAGTCAAAAATCGAAAAGTCGAAGAATCGAAATATTGAAAAATCCCAAAACTAAAATATCAAAAAACTGAAAAATGAAAAAAAAACTAAAAATGGGAAACTAAATCGGGAAATCAAAACATCGAAAAATCGGAAAATTTAAAATGACAATTGAAAACAGAAAATCTAAAACCGGGAAGTCGAAAAATCGAAAGATTAAGCATCCGAAAAATTTAAAAATCGAAAAAGTAAAAAAATCGACACATCGAAAACTCCAGAAGCCAAAAATCGAAAAGTCGAAGAATCGAAATATTGAAAAATCCCAAAACTGAAAATATCGAAAAACTGAAAAATGAAAGAAAAACTGAAAAAATGGAAAACTGAGACCTTAAAAGTCGAAAAATTAAGCAATCGAAAAATCCAAAAAGGGAAGTCGAAAAATCTAAACCTTAAAAAAACTGAAAAATGAAAAATCAAAAACCTGAAAAATCGAAAAATTAAAGAATTGAAGAACAGGACCATCGAAACCCTCGAAACTCAAGAAATGGGAAAATCAAAACATCGATTAATTGAAAAATCGAAAAATTGACAGTTTATAAATGTCAAATTTGAAAAATCGAAAATTTTAAAAAACGGCAGTTGAAAAACAGAAAATCTAAAACAGGGAAGTCGAAAAATCGATAAATTAAGAAATCAAAACATTTGAAAAATTCGAAAACTTGAAAAACTGAAATATCGAAGAACTGAAATGAAAAATCGAGAATTCGAAAAATCTAAAATTTTAAGTATTGAAAAATTAAAATATCAAAAACTGAACAATTTAAAATTTAAAAATCGAAAAATCGAAAGATTAAGAAATCGAAACATTTGAAAAATTGAATTATGGAAGAGCTAAAATGAAAAATCGAGAAATCGAAAAATTAAAATACCAAAAAACTGAGAAATCTAAAATTTAAAAATCGAAAAGGTAAAAAGTCGACAAATCGAAAAATCCAGAAGTCAAAAATGGAAAAGTCGAAGAACAGAAATATTGAAAAATCCCAAAACTGAAATATCGAAAAACTGAAAAATGAAAGAAAAACTGACGAATCGAAAAACTGAAAAATCCCAAAATTAAAAAATTGAGAAATCGAAAAATCAGAAAAATGAAGTTGAAAAATCTAAACCTGAAAAAATAGAAAAATTGAAAAACCAAAAAACCTGAAAAATCAATTCATTGAAAAATCGACAAATAAAGAGTTTATAAGTCAAAAATTGAAAAATCGAAATATTTAAAAATCGTAAAATTGAAGAAAAAAACTGAAAACCAAGAAATTTAAAAATTGAGAAATTGTAAAATCCAAAAATTGAATAGTAAATAGGAGTAAACTGAAAAGTCCCCAAACTAAAATTTCGACAAACTGAGTTTCGGTTAGAATGTGTAACAGATCACGGATCATGGCTTATGAATCAAATCGTTTCCGAACGCTTATAGAGTCGACATTGGCCTGAGTGCGCTCTGGTCTGTAGATCAAACAAGTTCTCAGACGACGAACTGTAATTCGTAATATTCTGGTAAATCTAGTGTCAATTTGTCGAAAGTAAAACGCGTCGTTAAAAATATTATGACATTTTTTCTAGTTAATTTTATTCCTAGTTAGAAACAAACACTGTTGCCAACATAAATCAAGGAGTCCTCAACCGTCATTTAATTTAAACTATGACGCTTCTCTATGTTCTCTGGTTGAACTTAGTTTACTGTTGATAGTTATTAAACTAACGGACGCTAGTAATAAAAATTAGAATGACACAGCGGAACAGTTTTTTTCCACGATAAAAACAACCGAAACGAAATATATATCAAGTCATCATTCTGACAGATGACATTAACCAAAATTCAAGTGTTGAAATGTCGTCATCCCATTTTTGGGGAGGTTGAATGAAGACTTCACCCTTCAAATAAAACACAGTGTCGTATTTACAACTTTTACTTATCACAAAGATAGTTTATAGTCTCTAAAAACCATACATACAAATTTACCTGAAACTTGGTGTGATGAAACAGAAGATCAGACGCAAACACGAAAACCACCGGGTTTTCAACAGACTTAAGACACTTTCCTTAACATAACACACTCTATATATATACCAGTTGAAAAACGATAAAAAAAGTACAACAAAAAATTACTTAGCGAATCCATTATTTAACTCGATCTTACTGTCGGTAAATTGCATGTGATTTTCAATGATTTGAAAAAGTTCCGCGGGTTGCGGTATCCGACCGGTTTCTAATTTAGACCAGACAGGTACGTCATTGAGTGAGATTTCAAAAGCGCCGGACTGAATGAGCTGCCCTTCTATGATGTTGCAAACGAAGAACAACATCATGCATGCATAGAGCTTGTTTTCTGTGCACCAGATCCACCACGATGGTTGGGGCTGGTTGATGTACTCGAAGATGTTGACAGCTCCCAGGATACACACAATTACAAGCATTTTCACGATGCCCTAGAAAGTGACGTAAATGCGGTGTTATTGCGATAAGCGTACTCACTATTAATCTAGCTAAATACATGTTAAAGCCAGGGGGATCATAGTTTTGGCCGTCAATCACAATGAAGGGGTACTTTTGTTGGATGATTTGTACATATTGGTCGAAAGTCTTGCGGTAACCGCACGAGTAACTGGAATATGGTAATTAGATGGGTTTAATTAAACTGGAACTACTTACCAATATAAGAATTTTAAAGTTGGGGCACCTACATTTTGACTTAATTTTGATGGAAGAATGTCTTCAGCTGACACATTTATGTGGGATTCGAGGACACACAAACCTGCGAACACTAATAAATACCAAAAACATGGAAATTGCTTTAAGCGAGCCATTTATTTTGCTTTCTAATGCTTTTCGTCAGCTGATAATTTTCCAGTGAGAGGTCAGAGAGTTGGGGTTTTTCACCAGCCCACTAAATCACCAAGGAATTTACACGTACCACTAAACAATCGCTCTAAAATATAAATCTCGACAATCTATCATGTGTAGAGATTCTAAATCGTTAAAAATACAAAATCGTATTGATTCGTAGCGAAACTATTTTTAAAATCGTTAAAATATCTCGAAAGTTAGTGATTTATGGATTGTGTGGTTGGTTGCATCATGAAGTGACACTATCTTTTTTTGACGTTTCTCTTTCTCAATAAAATGGCTTCTCGTGGGGGTGCTTCGAGGCGTGTTCCCGAAAATGATTCCACGATTGCTTACGTGCAAGCTGATGGCTTGGTAAGTTTACAAAAAAACTCAGTTTTTACAAATTGTCGCGATTAACGTGCAAAAACTGCCACAAAAAGTGCAAACGTTAACATATGGAACCTAACCTCAACGGGCTTCCTTTTCAACTATGTATAATTCGGATCGTTACAGGCCGTCATGAAAATCGTCAAACACTGCCATGAAGAATCCACAACCAACATGGACATAGCCCAGGGGGCTCTTCTCGGCCTCGTCGTAGAAAACCGGCTTGAAATCACAAACTGCTTCCCTTTCCCCAAACAAAACGACGAAACCATGGATGAAGACGAATATCAATTAGCGATGATGCGTCGCTTGAGACGCGTGAACGTCGACCATTTCCACGTCGGTTGGTACCAGAGCGCCGACGTCGGTAACTTCCTCAGTTTACCCCTCCTAGAATCCCAATTCCACTATCAAACATCCATTGAAGAATCAGTCGTCGTGATTTACGACACCCAGAAGTCATCGCGCGGCTTCCTCACCCTTAAAGCATACAGATTGACCCCCCAAGCCATCGAGATGTACAAAGAGGGTGAATTTACCCCCGAAGCTCTCCTCAAGCTGAAAGTAGGCTACGAGAATCTCTTCACGGAAGTACCCTTCGTCATTAAAAACTCGGCTCTAACGAATATAATGATGTCAGAGTTGGCAGAAATGGTTCCTGAGGAGGAAGGCTCGAAGTTCTTGGATTTGGGTACGGCGTCAGTATTAGAGGGGCAGTTGCGGTGTTTGATGGATAGAGTGGATGAGCTGAACCAGGAAGCGATTAAGTTTAATAGGTATCAACAGTTGGTTAGTCGGCAGCAGCAGGATAAGCACCGGTATTTGCAAAAGAGGTCGCAGGAGAACGCGGCGAGGGCTGCGAAGGACGAGCCGCCGCTGCCTGAGGAGGATATTACTAAGTTGTTTAGGCCGCATCCGGTGCCGCCTAGGTTGAATCCGATGATTATTGCTGGACAGATTAATACTTATAGTCAGGCGATTTCTCAACTGTGTTCGCAGTCTTTGGCCAAGTTGTATATCACGCAAGCTCTGCAAAATGCGAAAGAGACCAACGCGAATCCTTAAATTATTTTTATGTTGTGTGTTTAGTTAAGGAAATAAAACGCTCAACATGGATATGGGCGTGTTTGTGGTCACCCCTTTTTTATTGTGAACTAGTTATTTGAATTATCTATTATAAGAAAATTATTGGAAGTTTTTATTTTAGTCGTGTAATCCCACAAATTTTCTTAAAACCGATAGTTAAAAAATTTCCTATCATTATTCCTAAGTCGCCTAGATGAAATATAGCACTTTTTAAGATAGTTTAAACATTTTATTTTGAATTTTTGGCCAGCTAATTTTTCCAGAATCGGGCTAAATATCTCCTGAACAAAAATGTCAGGATTCTCCGGATTTTTCGGTAAGAGTCCTGGGTCATGGCCCGGAAACAACATGCCATGTTTTTGGATTTGGCTCGTCGAAATTTATATTCTAGATTTTTTTGTGGATTTTTAGACAACTTCGCAATAAACTCAATTTTTTAACACTCCGCCCTTTGAAATTTTTTAGCTTTCCTCAAACACCTTCAAAATTTGACAGAAGAGATTTCTTTGTTGATTTCGATCCCCTGAAGTTGTTCACGGTTTCAGTTCTTCGAAAATTCCTACCATTTTTCCAAAATCATCTAAATGAAATATGGCATTTTTTTAATATTTTAAAAATTCCAATTTGAAGCCAAATATTTCGAATATCAGTTATCGTATTAGGTTGAGATTATGTTTCCTCATAGTTGCATCATTTCTGCGTAAACATGATTTTTTTCATAATTTTTCACCAGCTATTTTTTCTGGAATCGTGCTAAATACGACCTTAAAACAAAAATGACAAGATTGTTCCGGAATTTTCGAAGATAGGCTTTAAGTTTGGTCCGAGATCACCAATATACGTATGCTATGATTTTGGATTTAGCTTGTCGAAAAATCTATGGCCCAGATTTTTTTACGAATTTTTGGACAACATCACAAAACGCTTAAATTTTCAATTCTCCTTCCTTTGAAATTTTTTACCTGTCCTCGGACACCTTCAAAATTTAGCAAAGGAGATTTTTTTATTGATTTCGATCTCCTGAAGGTTTTTATGGTTTCAGTTCTTTGACAATTTCTCCCATTTTTCCAAAATCTCCAAAATGAATTGATATTTTAAAAATGTGATTTTGAAACCGAATATTTCGAAAACCAGTGATCGTAGCGGTCACCTTTTTTTCCGGACTCGTGCTTAGTATCTTCTTAACAAAAATTTTGTTATTGTTCCGAAATTTTCGACGACAGTCCTTAATCTTGGTCCGTGATCATCAACACGCTAGATGTTTCAATTTATCAATATTTCAGTTTTGGGATTTTTCAAATTTTCAATTTTTCGAATTTTAAATTTTGGATTTTTCACTTTTTTGATGTTTCAACCTCTCGATCTTTCGATTTTTCGACTGTCGGTTTTAGATTTTTCAATTTTTCAATTTATCGAGTTTTAATTTTTCAGTTTTTTGATTTATCGGTTTTTTAAGCTTAAATGATTCAATTTTGAATTTTTCGATTTTGGGTTATTTCGATTTCTCGGTTTTGCGATTGTTCGACTTTGCAATTATCGACATTTCAGTTTTGGGATTTTTCAATTTCCCGATCTTTCGGTTTTTCAATTCTTCAATTTTTCTCGATTTGTAGCTTTTTCGATTTTTTAAATTTTATATTTTCGGTTCTTCTATTCTTTGATATTATTTTACATTATCAGTTTTACAATTTTGAAATTTTTTGATTTTTCAATTTTTGGCATTTCTAAATTTTCGATTTCTCAGTTAATCGATTTTTTTATTTTTCGATCTTTCAGTTTGGGATTTTTCAATATATATTTCAATTTTTTGAATCGATTTCTAGATCCTTCGATTTTTCGATTTCTCGTTATTAAATTTTTTGATTTTTCAATTTTTTGATTTTTAAAATTTTTGATTTTTTTATTAAATTTTTCGGTTTTTCAATTTTTCGATTTTTCAATTTTTCGATTTTTCAATTTTCCGACATTCAGTTTTGGGATTTTTCAATTTCCCTATTTTTCAGTTTTTGGATTCTTCAATATTTCGATTTTTTAGTTCTTCGATTTTTCAATTCGAATTTTTAAATTTTAGGTTTTTTACTTTTTTGATGTTTCAGTTTCTCGTTCTTTGTATTTTTCGACTGTCCCTTTTAGATTTTTCTATTTTTCAATTTTTTGATTTTTAAATTTTTTTATTTTTCAATTTTTCGATTTTTCAGTTTTTCGATTTTTTAATTTTCCGACGTTCAGTTTTGGGATTTATCAATTTCCCTATTTTTCAGTTTTTGGATTCTTCAATTTTTCAATTTTTTAGTTCTTGGATTTTTCAAGTATTCCAATTTTTTAATTTTAGGTTTTTTACTTTTTTGATGTTTCAATTTCTCGATCAATTTGTCGATTTTCCAGTTTTACGATTTATCAAGTTTCCGATGTTTCGATTTTTCAATTTTTTGATTTATCGGTTTCTTTAAGTTGAATTGTATCAATTCAACTTCCCTGTAATTGGGTGTAACCTGTTGGGAATAAAGCCATATTTTTATTATTATTATTATTAAATTCTGAATTATTTTTCTACTTTTCGATTTTACATTTTTTTCACACTTCAGTTTTGGGATTTTTCAATTTCCAGATTTTTCGGTCTTTCAGTTCTTCAATTTTTCTCGAATTGTAGTTTTTTGATTTTTTAGTCTTTCAATTTTTTAAATTTTACATTTTCGATTTTTGTGATTTTCGATATTACAGTTTTAAATTTCTTAAAATGGATTAAAAATTTAAATTTTTCATTCATTTTATGATTCAATTTCATAATTTTCCTATATTTCACTCTTACAATTTTTAAATTTTTCGTTTTTTCAGTTTTTGAGGTTTCCAGATTTTCGGTTTCTCAGTTTCTCGATTAATCGATTTTTTGATTTTTCCACTTTTCGTTTTCTCGATTTTATAGTTTTCGATGTTTCAGTTTTGGAATTTTTCAAATTTTCGGTGTTTCGACTTTAGGGTTTTTTGATTTTGTACTTTTTCCGATTTTTTAGAATTTAGGTTTTTCACGTTTTTGATGTTTTGATTTCTCGATTTTTCAATTTTTCACAAATGTTTCGATTTTTTTAGTTCTTCGATTTTTTAATTTTTTGATTTATCGGTTTTTTTTTAAGTTTTAAGTGTTTCAATTTTGAATTTTTCGATTTTGCGATTTTTTAACTTTTCTTCTCTTTTCCAAATTTTTTTTTCGAGATTTTAGTTTTGGGATTTTTCAATTTCCCGAGTTTTTGGTTTTTGAATCCTTCAACTTCTCTCAATTTGTAGGGTTTCTTTTTAAGTTTTTCGATTTTTTAGATTTTACGTTTTCGATTTTTCTATTTTCGAAATTTAATTTCAATGTACAATTTTTTTAATACAAAATTCAAATTTTTAATATGCATTCAAAATTTCGATTTATTAATTTTTGGCGTTTCTAAATTTTCGATTTCTCAATATTTCGATTAGTCGATTTTTAAATTTTTCAACTTTTCGTTTTCTCGATTTTATAGTTTCCCATGTTTCAGTTCTGAGATTTTTCAATCCACATTTCGATTTGTCTAATTCGATTTTTTGATTTTTTACTTTTCCGATTTTTCAGTTTTTCGATTTCTCAAGTTTTCAATGTTTCAATTTTGGGATTTTTCAATATATATTTCGATTTTTCACTTTTTTTACATTTCGATTTCTCCCTATTTTTCACTTTTTCGATTTTTAAAGACTCTCATTTTTTGATTCTTCAATTTTTCGATTTTTTTGATATTTCAGTTTTGGGATTTTTCAATTTCTTGATTTTTAGTTTTTTTTTTGGATTGCCCAATTTTTCTCGATTTCTAGTTTTGATTTTTTAGTTCTTCGTTTTTTCAATTATTCTAATGTTTAAATTTTAGGGTTTTTACTATTTTGATGTTTCAGTTTCTCGATCTTTTAGATTTTTCTATTTTTCAATGTTTTGATATTTACAATTTTTGATTTTTCAATTTTTCAGTTTTCAAATTTTTCGATTTATCGTTTTTTTTAAGTTGAAGTGTTTCAATTTTGAATTATTAGACGTTGCGATTTTTCTACTTTCTTTAGATTTTACAATTTTTTTTTCGACACTTCAGTTTTGGGATTTTTCAATTTCCCGATTTTTCTGTTTTTCAGTTCTTCAATTTTTTTCGAATTGTAGATTTTTTAGTCTTTCAGTTTTTTAAATTTTAGATTTTCAATTTTTGTGTTTTTCGATATTACAATTTTAAATTTCTATGTGTTAAAAATTCGATTTTTCATTCTTCTTATGTTTCAATTTCATAATTTTCCGATGTTTCACTTTTACAATTTTTAAATTTTTCGATTAATCGATTTTTTGATTTTTCGTTTTCCCGATCGGCTTTTTTTAAGTTTTAAGTTTTTCAATTTTAATTTTTCGACTTTTCTATTTTCTTTTTTTTTTTTAGATTTCTGTTTTGCTATTTTTCAATTTCCCGAGTTTTTGCTTTTTGAATCGTTCAACTTCTCTCAATTTATAGTTTTTTTTAAGTTTTTCGACTTTTTAGATTTTGCATTTGCGAAATTACAATTTAATTACAATTTTTTTATATATGTATATAAAATTCAAATTTCTTAATATCATCTCTTCTATTTTTCACTAATCGATTTTTTGATTTTTCCACTTTTCGTTTTTTCGATTTTATAGTTTTCCATGTTTCCGTTTTGGAATTTTTCAATACACATTTCGATTTTTCCACTTCGATTTTTTACTTTTTCGATCTCTCAAGTTTTCGATGTTTCAATTTTGGGATTGTTCATTTCGATTTTTCATTTTTTGACGGTTCGATTTCTCGATCCTTCGATTTTCCGACTTCTCCCTATTTTTCCACTTTTTCGATTTTTAAAAACTTTCATTTTTTGATTCTTCAATTTTTCGATTTTTCGTTTTTTTTATTGTCCAATTTTTCTCGATTTCTAATTTCGATTTTTTAAATTTTACATTTTCTACGAAATTTTCGATTCTAGTCCTAAATCTTGCTCCAGGATCATCCTATATTTATAACTGCATCTTATTCTATTTTTTTGTTATTTTTTTTTGCTAAATATTTTCTACATTTATAAATGATACGATTTTTTTAAGAGACACTTCAACGTATGAGAAAAATAAGAACAAAAAATAAAGTTAAAAAATACAGGTAGAACGAATAATATTTCAAGTATCGTGTTGTTGAAAGAAAACTATATACATTAAAAGAGAAGTCGATGATTAAGCCCCACCCCTAATTCAATCGTGACGAATTTTTCATTTGTTGTCAGATTGAGGGGAGGAGTTTAATTGCAAAATTCTACAAAAATGTACCATTTTATACATGTTTTAAAAAGAAAACTACATATTGTTAAGAAAAAAGACAAAACATAAGCCCCGCCCATCTCTCGTCTCTCAATTATGATGGATTTTTTATTCGTCGTGGGTTGGGGGAGGAGTTTAATTGCATAATCTTTTTTTTTCTACAAGAAATTACCATGTGAAGCATGTTTAAGGGTCCTGTTGTTGAAAGAAAACTATACATACAATATCAACAAAAAGAAGCCCCACCTACCCGCCCCGTCTCAAATGTGGTCAATTTTTCATTTGTTGTCGAATCGAGGGGCGGAGTTTAATTACAAAATCCATATTTGTCTACAAAAATTACCATTTTAAACATGTTTGAAGTATTTTGTTATAAAAAAAGACTAAACATAAAAAAAACTACTGTATTGTAGCGTAAATTGGTAATGTTTCACGTGGTAATTTTTTGTAAAGAAATAAAGATTTTGCAATTAAACTCCGCCCTCAGCTGACGACGAATCAAAAAATTCGTCACAATTGACGTAAGGGCGAGTGGGTGGGGTTTATATTTTGCCTTATTTTTCTTACTATGCATTGTCATCTTATCACAACAAGAAACTTAAAACATGTTTAATATGATACATTTTTGTAGAGAAATATAGATTTTACAATATTAAGCTCCGCCCCTCGATCTCACAACGAATAAAAATTTGTCACAATTGAGGTCGGCGCGAGTGGGTGGGGTTTAATTTTTGATTTATTTTTCTTAGTATTTGTAGTTTTCTTAAAACATATTTCACTGGTTATTTCTTGTAGAGAAATATAAACTCCGCGTCCCGTCTCACGACGAATAAAAAAATTCATCACAATTGAGATGTAGCGGGTGGGCGGGGCTTATTCATTGACTTTTTTTGTAATATACGTGGTCTTTATTCAACAATAAACGTTCCATTTTTCGAAAGTTCCTACCATTTTTCCAAAATAGCCCGATTGATATATAGGTATATGACAATTTTTGAGATATTTTGAAAATTTGACTTCAAAACCGCGTATTTTGAAAATCAGTGGTGGCAGCGAGTTTGGATAATTTGCTCTTCTATTCCTGCGTAAACATAGTTTTTTTCATAATTTTTGGCCAACTATTTTTTCCGGAATTGTGCTTAAAATACCTTCTTAACCAAAACGTCATGATTGTTCTGAAACTTTCGATTCTGGTTGTTAATCTTGGTCCGGGATCATCAAAATGTCATGTTTTTGGATTTAGCTCGTCGAACTCTATCTCCTAGAATTTTTTGCGAATTTTTAGGCAACTTTACGAAAAGCTCAAATTTTCATTACTTTGACCTTTCCTCGAGCATATTCGAAATTTAGCAAAGAACATTTTTTTGTTGATTTCGATCCCCTGAATTTTGTTGCGACTTCAGTTCTTTGAAAATTTCTACCCTTTTTCCAAAATAAATAAAATATGACAATTTTTGAGATATTTAAAAAATTTGACTTTGAAACCGAATATTTCGAATTGTGTTGGCGTAGCAGGTTGAGACTTTTTTCATAATTTTTGGATATACTACTGTTTACCATAGAACACGCTGCCTTTAGTGTTTTTGGGAAGAAATAAAACCATAACCCTTTAAAAAATAATGTATTCAATTGCTCTAAACATCAATTTCATTCATTACATCCTTACGGTCCTAAAGAAATAATTTTAACGTAATGTTATTTATTTACAGTTCTATTGCACAAACTGGCCAAAATGTACACACTATTTGTGCAACTTAATAAATAAGGGACGATAACAAATATCAAACATGAAAAACAACAACAAAAAATAAATACTAAAAACAAACAAGACTAGAAAATCACAAATCGTTTCATTACGTTATGTACTGGTTTTAGCTTAACAATAAATTCGTGTCATGAGTATAAAAAAGTAGAGTATTCTGAATCATCCGAAAAGAAACGCCCATTTATTTTTAGATAAAATATCTTACACTCTACGACTAGCTCCTAGGTAACATTCACCACTGGCCTTTTCGTCCCACTTACATAGAATATGTACATCCTGAAAATGGCACATGGACAAATCCACGGTTTAAAAGAATATCTACATCAGTACCGCTCCAGTACTCCCTCCAGACCCATCCTACATACTACCAACATTGTTCGAGATATTGTTCTGGTTGACCGGCTTAAACGGCTCCACACTGTCCACGATCGCCTCCGCGAGATAGCTCCTGATCTTCGTCGGGACGAACAGCTTCTCCAGATCCTGCTTGTTCCTGATCCTTTTCACGATCACCGCCCTGCAGCGGTCCTGCAGGTTCACAAAGTCGCGCTTCATCGAGTCCAAGTACATCTCAGTCTTCGCGGCGGTCGAGCAGATGATGGGGTACAGCGGCTCCTTCACCTCGTTCAGCCCCCGGAACGCCACCCCCAGGTACTTCTCGTCCTTGTAGTAGCTCAGCGTGCCGGCGATGCCGTCGAACAGGATGCCGATCTTCGTGGCCACGTTCTCCCGGAAGGGCTTCGTGTAGTGCGTCCAGCGCCCGCCGTGCCACAGCAGCCCCTTGTGGCTCAGACCCCAGCCGTTGTCGTCCTCGCCGAGCAGGTTGGTGAAGGAGTCGGCGTGCAGACGCGCCTTCTTCGTGCCGATGCCGAACATCATGCTGGTGCCGAAGATGCGGCGCGATAGATGCAGCTCCCAGAAGTAGCGGCCGTTGTTGAGCACCCGGGTGCCGCGCACCCCGGCGGTGCCGCTGCTCCAGTTCGGGTGGAAGTGGGCTATCCGGAAGTTGTTGCCGTAGAGGCGCACCTCGGGGCTGCGCTCGCGCCGGTTCCAGGTCCATAGGTCGTCGCAGCCGTGCCGGAGGGGGAGGATGTTGGGCTCCGTTTCCATTTCCGACTCGGAACGCTTCGACTGCTATGCGGAGGACTCCTCCCAAGTGGGGGGGACGTCCTCCACGCTGCAAAAAAGACGGATTTTAACCATGGAAGCGAAGGGTTTAACTATTGTACAAAAAACTATGATACCATCTAGATTTTGGTTATTACACTTTGGTTCGGGCACCAGTTTTTTTACAACCATACAGCATTAAAAGAACGAAATTCCAGACTTTGGAAGAACTGCGTTCAGACTGGTAACAATACCGCATGAAAATACCGGATTTACCTTAGAACTCATGTTATCTTTATCTATGTTGATAATCTATGGAATAGGATTATAAGATTGAAGTTCATCTAAAATTTTTCAAATTTTACAACAGTATTATAGGTGATAGCGAATCTGAGAGTCAGATATCGTAAATTTAGGTCTGGATAATGAAATGTCACACAAGTAAATTGAAAAGCGGAAGATATTGATCACAAACATCCAAAATTTTCTGTTCAAGGGTATAGAGTTCTATGAGAAGATCTAAAAACTAAAGGTCCAATCCATCTCAATTCGTAACATCATCATTACCTAGTACTAATTTAGAAGCTAGTGACTGTTACCTTTCCGGGTGTCTGCAATCTCTAGCTATATAATTTGGTCTGTTTGTGTTTTTTCTTCTAAAATTCGGTTTAATTTGTCCTAGTTTTGTCGAATACATAAATCAGTAAAAATAAAATTAATGGCAGATGTCACGAATTTTTTTGACGTGGTTTCAATAAATTATTCCAAATGTTAGTTCCTGATTCCAAAAATCTGGATGGGTTAAAACTAAAATGTAGTTTGAGGAAGCACTTACAAGTTTTAGGTCACCTTTTAGCTACGATGTGTGGAAACATTTGGGAAACTGTTGGAATAACAACAGGTGGAGGAACAAAAGTCTTTAAACTGGGTGAGGAGGTTCAACAGGTCGAGTAAACACCACGAAAATAAAAATAAACAATTGAAAAGAGATAAGCTAAGATAGGGATAAGAATTTTCATTTATTTGGTGAGTTTATTTGTCGCACTCGAGTAAGTAGGGTAAACAAATAAAGGTGCATTGAGACAAACTAGAAAATAGTGTGTTCTTACTAATTGTGAAAATTTAATCAAAGTGGATTGTTTATTTTGATTTTTAACATCATCGCGTTTCTTTCAAAATAAAACTGGCAACGTTGCCAGTGTGAGTTTTAGTGAATTATTCTAGTGTGAAATAATTTAAGGTTATGTTTCATTTAATTTTCAGAGGCAGTTTCTTTTCATTTTCAAACTTCTTCACGCTCAAGCTCTTAAATTAGTCAATTTTAGAATAATTAAACTATACCGTTGTTTGGAAAATAGTAAGCTCGTAATGTTTCCAAATTTTGATTATTTTTTGTAAAAGTTAGTCATCAGATAAAACTGATTTTGGCAATGACATTACTTCTAAGGAAAGAGAGGGTGGGTGGGCGGGGCTAGTACCTCGTAAGATAAGAGTGATTTTGGCAAATGAAATACCTTCTAAGAGAAGACAGGGTGGGCGGGCGGGGCTAGTAGTTACCCACATAAGACTGATTTTGGCAAATGGCATACCCTCTAAGAGAATGAAGGGTAGAGGCTATACCATTTGGCAAATTCAGTCTTATCTTGGCAAGTATTGGCCCCGCCCACCCACCCTTTCTTTTTTTAGAAGGTATGTCATCTGCCAAAGTCAGTCTTATCTTGGTAAGTACTAGCCCCACCCACCCGCTCTTTATTTTCTTAGAGGGTATGTTATTTGGCAATATCAACCTGGGCCTCCAAGGTTCTTTTCAGTTCTTAAAAATAACACCCTCGGGATTCTTTCAAATTCTTAGAAAAAAAGTCTAGGGGTCACGAGATTCTTTTAAATTCTTTAAAAAAATGCAAGACAGCCTAGAGTTTCTTATAATTCCTTAAGAAAATACTAGAGGTTCCCGAGATTTTTTGCAATTCTTAAAACGAACACTAGGAGCCCCCGAGATTTTTTCAAATTCTTTTTAAAAAACACTAGTGGCCCGTAAAATTCTTCTTGAATTCTTAAAAAAACTATTAGAAACCACCGGGATTCTTTTCCAACATTATATTAAAAATGCAGCGGAGATTCTTTTAAAATAAAAAACAACAAAAACAGAACCCGCGCGATTCTATTAAATTCTTTCAAAATTCTTTAAAACAACAGTAGGGGCTTCCATGATTCTTTCCATTTCTAAAAAAAAAAAACACAAGGTTGCACCGAGATTCCTTCAATTTCTTAAAAAAAAAAACTCTAGGGACCCTGAGATTCTTTTAAATTCTTTAAAAAAATGCAAGACAGCCCAGAGTTTCTTATAAATTTCTTAAAAAGACACTAAAGGTTCCCGATATTCTTTGCAGTTCTTAAAAATACACTAGAGGCCGCTGACATTTTTCTTGAGTTCTTTAAAAAAACCTACTAGGGCCCCCTGGGATTCTTTTTCAAAAATTCTTAAAAAACACGAGAGATACTTTTAAATTAAAAAAAAAGGAGATCTCGAGACTCTTCTCAAATTCTTATAGAAAAAAGCGATCAAAGAATCTTGAAAAAATGAAAAAAAAAACACTCAAAAAGACAACAAAATCTACAAAAAACGACAAAAATGCGAAAACAGTGGACAAAAAACATAAACACAGAACAGAAAAACGCAACAAAAAGGAACACACAAAATGCAAGTAAAGAAAAAAAAAGTGGTTACAAAAAAGATTGAAACATTTAAAATTGGAAGAATTGAAAAACTAAAAAATCGGAAAATCGAAACGTCGAGATGTCGAGAAATATAAAAGTCGAAAAATCAAGGAATCGAAAACTCACAAAAAATCCAAAAACTGAAACATCAAAAAAGTGAAAAATCCAGAACTCGAAAAGTGGAAAAATCGGAAAATCGAGGAAATGAAGAATTGAAAAATCTCAAAACTGAAAAATCAAGAAACCGAAACACTAAAAAATTCAAAACCGAAATTTCGAAAAATTGAGAAATCGAAAAATCGAAAAATCCAAACATCGAGAAGACCAGAAATCGAGAGAAGGGCAAACAAAACTATCGAAAAGTCAAGAAATCGGGAAATCTAAGAGACGAAAAATTGAAAAACCGATTCATTCAAAAATCAAGAATTCGGAAAATTGACTAATCGAAAACTTAAGGTAGAAATGGCAAAAAATGAAAATTTGAAATTCGCACAATTTTAAAATCGAATAATTGAAGAATCATAATACTGAAAAATCGTAAGATTGAAACATTGGAAAAAGAGAAATCGAAAAATCATATCGAGAAAATGAAGAACTGAAAAATCTCGAAACTGAGAAATCGAAAAATCAAAACATTAAAATAGCGAAAAATTGGGAAATCGAAAAATTGAAAAAATGGGAAATTAAAGACTTGAAAGACTAAAAAATCGGAAAATCGAAACGTCGAGGAGTCGATAAATCCAGAAATGTGAAAATAAAATAATCGAAAAGTCAAAAAATTGAAAAATCGAAAAATCTAAAAATGGAGAAATAGAAATTAAAAAAATCGAAAAATCGAAATGTTGAATAATTGAAAAAGCGATTAATCCAGAAATCGAAAACTCGGAAAATGGACAAATCGAAAACTTAGAAATGCCAAAACTTTTAAAATCGAAAAATTGGAGAATCATAAACTGAAAAGGAATCAAAGAAATAATCACAAAAAGGAGAACAAAAATGCTAAAAAAAGCGACGGAAAATCCGCAGAATGATGCGACTACAAAAAATTACTAAAAAACAACAAAAAAAGCTAAAAAAAAAAACAAAAGGTCACTAAAAAGGAAATAAATAAAAGACAAAAAAGGCGATAAAAACTGGGAAAACAAAAAAAAAATGGTGTAAAGTTATTTTGACAGAATTTTCTTTGCCCGTGAATTTCAATCAATGAAATTTATAAAAAGGGCTACTACAAAAGTGACAAAAAAATCACAAAAAAATAAAGAAAAGACAAATAAAATCCACAAAAAAGGACGTACAAAAAGGCCCAAAGTAATTTTGACCGAATTTTCCTCGCCCTTGAATTGCCATCAAGAAATTTATAAAAAAAGCGACAAAAACTCTTGAAAAAGACACTGAAAAAAGGACAAAAAGTCTACAAAAAAGACGACAAAAATGCGAATACAGAGGACAAAAAACATAAAAAGAGAATAGAAAATTGCAACAAAAAGTCGACAAAAAACGCAAGAAAAGAGTAAAGTGGCTAGAAAAAAATGACATAAAAACACAAAAAAACAGTTACAAAAAGGGACAAAAATGTCACAAGAGAGAAAATAAAGAAAAGACAAAAAATCTATAAACAAAGTGCAAAAAATGCGAAAATAGGTTAAGGAGAATTGGTCTAAAATTATTTACCCAGAACTTTCCACGCCTCTAAAGTACAATCAACCAAATGCATAAATAAGGCTACTACAAAAGTGACCAAAAATACAAAATATCGTCAAAAGGTCTCAAAAAATACAATTAAAAAAGGCAATGAAAAAATTACAAAAGTTTACAAAAAAAATAAAAGACGAAAAAGAAAACACAATAAGTGACGACAAAAAATGCGTAAACAGAAGTTAAAAAATAGAGTCAAAAGTAATTTTCACAGAATTTTCCTCGCCCCTGATTTACAATAAAAGAAATTTAGAAAAAAAAGTGACAAAAAAAGCAAAAAAGGGAACAAAAAGTTTCAAAAAAAATTAAAAAAAAGACGATGAAAAAAAAGACAAAAAAAAATAACAAAAAAAAATGTGAAAACCGGTTAGAAAAATTGGTCTTCAGTTATTTATTTAGACATAACTTTCCATGCCTCTGAACACATGCACAGATAAGGCGACTACAAAAAAAAGTGACCAAAAATACAAAATAGTGCCCAAAATTCTCAAAAAATGCAATAAAAAAAAGCAATGAAAAAAGGACAAACGTCCACGAAAAAGATAAATACAAGAAAAAAACCCAAAAAGAAGCGACAAAACATGCAAAAATAAAGGTTAAAAAAAATTGGTCAAAAGTTATTTTGACAGAATTTTTCTCGCCCCTGAATTAAAATCCAAATAATTACAAAAAGTGGCAAACAAAGCAAACGCTATCCATGGCCTAGATTCTTTCAAATTCTTTCAAAAATGAAATAGTACAGCTTCTCGAGATTCTTTTAATTCATTAAAAAATTGGTCTAAAGAGTTTAGACAGTACTTCCCTCGCTGTCGGAAACGTGACGACTGCATGCCTATTATGTTTTTTTTTCGCAGTGGATTTCAAAGAATTCGGTTTTGTAGTTCCTGAGTAAATCAATAAAATAAATTTACGCATTCATTAATTTTTTTGAGTCGCCCTGTATATGCAAATCCAAAAAAAAATCAATGGAGTAATAAATCACAAGTACAGACTCATCATATTTTGTACAGTTTAGATAGGATTTATTCGGCAAACTTTCGAGCTGACGTCATCAATTTTTTGGAGGGGATAAGCAAATATATTTTGACTAAACATTTATTATGCTCTTTATAACCTTAAAACATCTGCAAGATTTCAAAGCATTCGGTTTTGTAGTTCCTGATTAAATCAATAAAATATATTTACGCATTTATTAATTTTTTTGAGTCACCCTGTATATGCAAATCCAAAAAATATGAATGGAGTGATAAATTACAAGTACAGACTCATCATATTTTTACAGTTTAGATAGGATTTATTCGGCAAACTTTCGAGCTGACGTCATTAATTTTTTGGAGGGGATAAGCAAATATATTTTGACTAAACATTTATTATGCTCTTTATAACCTTAAAACATCTGCAAGATTTCAAAGCATTCGGTTTTGTAGTTCCTGATTAAATCAATAAAATATATTTACGCATTCATTAATTTTTTTGAGTCACCCTGTATATGCAAATCCAAAAAATATGAATGGAGTGATAGATCACAAGTACAGACTCATCATATTTTGTACATTTTAGATATGATTTATTCCACAAACTTTTGAGCTGACGTCATCAAGTTTTTGGAGGGGATAAGCAAATATTTTTTGACTAAAGATT